TGTCGCTGGGAGTGTCCCATCCCCCTCTCTCCATAGAGCCACAGACTGTCCCTACTTTAGCCGTGGCCAAATCTGTAAAGATGATATCAGCCTTGATTTCTCTGCGGAGTTCTCCAGCTCCTTGCTGGACCTATGCTCCTGCCCTCAGCCCCACTGTGTTTGGGTCAGGTCTAGCCTCCCTATGCTGCTTCTCTCTGGTCTCCCAGAAGCAATAGACAACCACCTGCTCCCCCTAGCTGCTAACAGACTTTGGTTGTGAATAGCTCAGCATCTGGCAATGTATCAACAAATGCCAGACAGACTTGCAGTGTCCCTAAGCTCCTACTGCTATGCCGGCCTACCAGATGAAACCCTGCCTAAAATGCCAGTGTCAGTTCCTGCATGAGCCACACGCACATCCTCCTCACTACTTTTAGCAATGCCCAGGCCTTCTCAGCAGCTTTTGAAGAGACCTGGTCCTGTAGCTCCAGCAACACCCCATCTCTACTACTCTACTAGTCCAACTTGCTAAGCACACAGTCCATCACCCAGCTGAGCTGATCCAGGGTACTTCAAGGAGACTGGAAACTGGTTCCCAAAGCACACAGGACACAAAGCACTACATGTTAAATGGAAGCTCCACCGAGATCATCTCTATGTCAGACTTAATGGGGCTCCTGTCACCAATCCCTCCTCTATACTGCCAATCACTACTCATTCACATGGGTCAGAAACAGCTCTCCCTAGAACATACACACTTTTCCTTTTATGCCAATGAGATCTGAGAGGGATAGTTAGAAACTAACCTCATGCTGACATGTCCTCAGTCTCAGCCACCATTTTCAGAAGCCTCTCTAAACTACTCTTCTCAGGACCTGTGTCTCAGTGGAGGCTCATGGGCAAGTCTTTCTTGTGAAAGAATCCTTTGGCACTTCAGGATATAAGTTCACTTTAGTGAGGTCCATCTATTCTGCAGTGCCTTCTATGGTGACAAGACAAATAGCATGACCTGATAACCTCTATTGAGTGCCCATAATGTGACCCACTCTGTGCCTGGTGCCCCCTTCCTATTTACACCTCAGAAACACTTGCCAGTGAAGTGACAGGCCCAAAATCACAGTTATTACAGTAAGGGGGAAGAGCCAGAGCCACCTCCAAAGTCTCCCTGACCTCGAAGTCCCTGCTGTCATTCCCACATAGCTTATCTGCTTGGCCTTCAGTTTGAGCCTGAAGCTTTGACACAACACAGGAAGATGGAATACTTGTTGATTCAAGATGTTGATATATGGGGAAAGGATACACCTCATAGCTGTTGATTTCCCCAAACAGAACCACCTGTAGATCTGTCTCCACATAGGAAAATATGAGGCAATTTCTTAGGACTCAAACTTAGATATTCTGCTAGCAGGGACCCAGGACTCACTCAGCCTTTATAGAGGAGGTATGCTCTAGGACTCGGGGACTCAGGGACTCAGGGCCAGTATGATCTAGTCAAATGTCAGAAAACCCATCCTCTGCAAGGTTCCATATATAACACTGTACTCCATGTATCCTGCCAAGGCCACAAGTCTATTCCAAGCTCTATACCTGATGCTACAGTGTAGCCTGAGGTGAAGCAGACCCAGTGTCTACCTCCTAGGAGCCTGTTGAGCAACCAGAATAATTATGGTCACCCTAATACAAAGCAAAGGATGATAAATGCCATAAGAAAGGGTAGAATGGCTATAGGAGCTCAGAAGACAAAATGATCACATCAGAAAAGGAATCCAGAAGGGCTTTCTTTGAGCTGGGACTTGAAGTATAGGTCTTATTTTAGAGAGTGGATATAATAAAGGCAAAGATATCCCAAGTAAACAGATGAGCATAAACAAAGTCATGAAGTCAAAGAATGGGCTTAGAGAGTCTTGGGGTAATAGCAAAGATCAAATTTGGCTAGAACACAGGAAATGTGGGAAGGATGAGATGAGAAAGTTGGGGCCCTATGGTGCATGGTAGAATTGCGTTGCAGGGTTCACAGCCACTGAAAACTGAGGAGTCATGATGATCAACACTGAACCAGCCTTCCTGTATTTATTGTTTTCTTTTCAATTTTCGTAGCAGCTCTGTGAGGTATTACTGTCTTTCTTTGACAGGTAAGTAAGGGAAGGTCAGGAAAGTGAAATAATTGGCCAAGTTCACATATTAATATGAGATGAAACTGGGATCCAAACTCAGATCTGCTTGGCTTGAAAGCTAACCATCTTTCCTACTGCTCTACACTGAAGAGATGAGTGAGGAAAGACCTTGAGAGACCTGGAGAAGGTCCTGCTGCCAAGAGGACATGGAAAAAGGGCAGTTGGGCAAAAGGACAAAATCTGAGAACACAAAGACTCTCAGCTTCTAGCAGTGGCAACTGCTCTAACTGCACTAACCAAATGGCTTCCATTTGGGTAGCATCTTAAATGTTGAGTTTTATCAGAACCAGGAGGCTGTGAGAATCAAAAGCCTTCTAGGGAGCCAATCCCACAGCAAGGGCAAGAGGAGTCCCAAGGTGAAGTTCAAGTAGAACTTTTTCTAGCATGATTTGGTAACAGCCTGCATTGTCAGGCTTCATGGAGGAAAACCATAAACCTTTAAGACATGATTTGAGATGACCAGCAATGAGTTTCTTGGATATTTAAATCTGGTCCAACAAAAATACGGTATGGCAATTTTCATCTAAATGCCATGATCTTTCTGATTGAGTGAGTCTTTACAAAACCATCCTGAATCCATGACCTCCAGTGTATTTGATCACAGGGATGGTGGAGCTATGGAGATTACCTCCCAAATTGTCCCGGGTAGAAACCTCTGTGATGGCATTCGTTTGTGCATCCTGGGACCAGGATGGCTAACCCTGAAAGATTGTTTGATAGGACCCCATGACTCTCCCTTCAAATCTCATACTTTTTGTCCACAATATTGTCCTATTCTCTAGCAATTGCTGAGCTTGAGTAGACCAGATCCGCTAATAGACCTACAAGTCAAGAGGCTGAACCTACCAAAACATTCAAGTTCCTGCCTGCAAATGCCTAGTGAAATGTAAAACCTCTGGAAATTGTGAATGTTCTGCACCATACAACAGGCTGTTTAGGAGCTATAAGGGGCTAAAGAGAGCATCTAGGCCAATTGCACATGGTACAGATGAGAAAACATAGAGGGAAGACAAGCTTCCCCAGGTTACTGGGTGTGTGGTAAGCTACTCTATGGCCTGAAATTGAGGGCAAATACCATGTAAGTTTTTTTTTTTAATTTGCTGTAAGTGTGTGCAGTTGCTGGAGGGAGGGAGATAGAGAGAAAGAGAGAAAAGAGGGAGAGGGAGAGAGAATGTGAGAAAGTATCCCCCAGCAGATGACCATGCCACAATCTCTTCTCTTCCATTCCCCTCTGGGGATTTTGGGAGCACACAGACTGTACCCAGTGTGTTTTTCAAGCTGCCAGGTCCAGGACTCAAACCAAACAGACAGTCATGTGGGATTCAGCTGCCTTAACCACCAAACCACCTGGCCGACCCTATCCCTGTAAGTTTTTAAGAGCATTCTATATGTTTTAAGTGACTTCCTTTGGGTAAGTTGTTCTGAATCCAAATCACCTAAACGGAGAACTGTTGCCTGATTTTACTCTATAGGCATTCTATAGCTTCCTCCCCTAATAACAATAACAATATTGGCAACAATAAAAGAATCTGTTCCTAAAATTGTTGACAAGAGCTATCAGATTCTTTTTTCCCTGGGGTCT